CTAGAGACGCTATTCTGCCAACGTAGCGCCATCTCGTAGCAATAAAAGATGGTTAGGCGTAAGCGCTCTCGAATCACTTACATCATCGCTGCTCTTGGTGATAGGCCGACTGTTGATAATGCTTTCTACTTCGGATCACTGATCTCTATAATATAAATCTATATCTATATATCTATATCTATATCTATATCTATATCTATATATATATATATATATATCTATATATATATCTATATCTATATCTATATATATTATATTATAGAGATCAGTGCCTAGGATACATGCCGCTGGATCCGAACTTGCCGGGGGGTACGCCAACGCCTATCCGCGAGATGCTGTACGTGTCAGTTCTGGCGCAAGTGGGTGAAAGAATACCTGCCAGAGATGCAGCGTAGTAGCAAGTGGATTGTGCAAAGCAGGAACATCAAGCTAGGTGATTTAGTGCTGGTGGTGAACGAAAACACCCCAAGAGGACTATGGCCGCTTGGCCTCGTGATAGAAGTGAATAAGGGCAGAGGCGGTCTCGTCAGATCAGCCAAAGTGAGAGCCAAGGCGACGCGTATCGTCCGCCTAATCTCAAAGATCGTGCTACTAAAGGGCTCTTCCTAAGTTTACTTTGTTGAACGTAGTTCAAGGTGGGGAGTGTTATTTCTTCTCAACATTTCTGTTAAGCATGTCATACTGTAGTATTTCTAGCACTGTTCAGTTCTTGTTTTGCGCGGTATTTAAGCTGTTCAGCTTGGCTGCGGTTCGGCTCGTTTACATTATGTTTTAGTCATGTGACTCGCGGGTTTCCATGTCGCGGTATAAAAGCGTCTGTTGTGCGTGGCGCGGGACCTTTTGCTGCTTGAGCCGTATTTATACGTTCGCGTGCGCTCGCGCATTTCTTCCACGATGCCCCATACATTGTAAGTGTTGTCTCTTGGTTCTCGCCTAATTTCTTATAATTTGAATCTTTGTTATATAACGTTGGATATAGTGAACATTACATAACATGAGCGACGTAATATTTAGTGTGCATTATTTTGTATTTTCAGCTTTACCTGCACGTGTGCAGCTACGCACGTGTTGAGTAATAAATTTGGAGATATCAAAAAGATGCCGAGTTGAGTATTGGTTATCACGCACGGAACGTAACACTCTCAATTTCTCTCTTTCTCGAAGCGGTAGCGCTGCCGGACGAGGCTGTACGACTGATTGTCTATACAGACGTCTGATTGTCTATCAGACTGATTGTCTGATAGTCTTCTAACTCTAGCAAGACCGTTTTGTGGAGCTAGCAAGTCGGTAACGTTTTTATATAACTTCACATAAATGATTATACTATATGTTAATTCGGGTGGCACTCCGGCAGCCCATGTTTATACTATGTTAACTCGGGTTTCCCAGCAGCGGCCAGCGATGGTAGAAAATTGTGAAAAATTGCTCTAAAAAGTTGCTTGTCCGGCGGACAAGCTACCTGACAGATCTACTTGTCCTCCGTGGAAATGGACAAGTACCGACAAACGGATAGCCCTTATTTCGAACACTGGGATGGTATCAGGAACCTTCTCGAAGAAATGTTCGTTGGGATCGTTGTGAAAGTTGCCACGAGATGGCGCGTACGTTTGAATGTCTTAAGATTAAAGATGGAAGCTGGAAGCTTCCATCGTACGTAGTATATAGCAACAACTATTTGCAAGACAGAATAGGTAAGCACTCATCCATTTCCCTACGCAAGCCTACAGGCTGAAATAGAGAGCTGCCACCTGTAACTAATTAACGCAGGCAAAAACTACACCATACTATCACCACCACATGCACTGGCAGTGGCATAATTAAGTTACATGTAACACACTGACAGTACAGAATGCCATAGAAATTATACGATTTAAGGAGCATAAACCTTCTTCAAGCAAATTTAGCTTTTGAAATTTCACTGTG